GGCGACTGGGGAGGCTGAATGTCAGCGTTGTTCACCTGGTGGGTCAGAGCCCTAAGGTGTCGCTTGTGTTCCCTCTGAGAGCATATTCCTCCCGAGATAACATTGATCGGAGAGAATTTTCCCTCTGCCTTTTTACTGTTCTTCCGGGGGAAGTCGAGGTCTTGCTGAGGGTCCTTTGCTGACTTCTCGGACTCCTTTTTCTCGCAGTGATCCGCGATGTATTTTTTCAAGTATCCCTTCCGGACCATGTCCTCTATCTGGTCCTTCAGTTGGATACACTCCTCAGTGTTATGTCCCGGAGATTCGTGGAACTCGCACCACTGATTTTTATTTTTTCGCTGATACCACTATGGGAGTGGTCTCGGCTTTTGGTAACTCTGCTCCTCCTTCGTCACGCTGTAAATTTTGGCGCGTGGAAGAGAGAGCGGAGTGTAGGACTCGTATCTGCCTGTGTATGAGGCAGATTTTTCCTTCTTTGGGTCGCTGGCCGAAGATTGTTCCGAGGCCTTGGCCTTTCCCTTTGTCCTCTGGCCTTGGCCTTCAGACAAGGGTGTTTGTTTTTGCTTCCCTCCCCCAGATTGAGGTTGGGTTTTTGCTTTGTTCCACTCTTCGGCTCGGATGAATTTATCCGAGGTGCTTAGAGCTTCCTCCAAGGTCTGCGGGGTATGCATGACCATGAAGTCTAGGAACTTCCCGGGCTGAAGGCTATTCTGCATTGCAAAAACGGCTAGCCCCTGGTCCTGCTGAGAGACGCTGGATGACTCGTTGCTGAAACGGGTCAGATAGTCTCGGAGGCTTTCGGTCTCCCCCTGTTGCAGACCCATGAGTTCTGCAGTAGTCTTCTCTCGGCGGTTTGCCGTAGAAAACTTGCTCCTAAATTTGGAGGACAGATCATCCCACCCTGTTATAGAGCCTTGCTTTACTCCCTTGGAGATCCATGCTTGCGCGACCCCCTTGAGAGTGGTTGGAAAATATTTGCACCAAGTCGCTTCGGATCTGGGGCAAAGATGCATATGAGCCTCATACGAGGCAACGTGGTCCTTCGGATCCGAAGTCCCATCATTTGTGATGTGCGACGGTATTTTAACCGTGGGCACGTGCTCTTCCAGTATCCATTGCTCGAATGGGGAACTGGCGGGTAGCATAACGGCTTTGCCCTTGTTCCTGGCCGAAGGGACCGCGCTCCGCCCTCTTAGAGAGGTAGGAGTGGTTTTCGTCCCTGGCTGGGAAGTCTGGGCCTCGGCTGCAGGGAACGAGAGGCGATTGTGCACGCTCGGTTCCTTGCCGCCGAGTCGGTCGAGGACACTTCGACGAACAGTCTCAGGTTGTTCTTGGCGAGCAGATTCTGGCCGAGAAGCTGAGCTGCTGCTCTTATGCGTTTCCTGTCGGGAGGTCGAGGATCCTATGAAGAATAGAGGGTTCTTTTTCCTCTCTTTTTCAGTTTTCCAGGTATCCTCTTCCCACTCTTCCAGTTCCCGGAAGGAAGGAAGTTTCCCACCATCATGGTCTAGCTTCCTCCGCTGATGCCGGGTATGCGGAGGAGTTCGATCGCGAGGTAGCGGCATATTTTGTGCCCTCATTGCCTCCATGAGCACTGCCAGCGCTCTTGCCACCTCCTCCGAGCTGGGCCCCGTCAAAGGGGTCCTCGGCTGAGTATGGGAATGAGAGCGGACGGTTGATGGTTGGCTTTGGGGCACTGAATGTGTCCTATGATCGGACTGACCCCTGCTAGACCGAGAGTGACTCGGCCTATGATGAGAGTTATGAATTACGGGATAAAGGGAATCCTCCCTGTATGATCCTCCCCCGAGCTGGCACCCTTGGGAGAGTTTCGGTCCGGTGAGGGTGATGGTGTAGGGGTTTTAGGCTTTTCGCCTGCTCCTTGACGGAGGCTTTTGCTCTTGCGGTTCTTAGCCATTGCTACTAAGATAATTGCAAGATGATTTTGGTTAGAAACTTGTCTTAAAGATTTTTGAAAGTCTTCCCCACAGACGGCGCCAAATTGTTTCGGGTGAAAACAATGGGACCTTGTCGAAGGTCCGATGAAGTGGAGAAGACTGGATTCGGTCCAAGTGATGTTGGGCCGAAGGTTTCCTGCACAGTAAACACACGTAAACTAGCCTCGGGGGTGTTGCCGAGGAAGGCCCCTCCGATGCTAAAGTCAATACAGTGTGTAGAAAGAGAATGCTATGCAAGAGAATTAATTGCTTGAGGCTTTGTTTGAATGAATTTACAAATGTAATATTGATAGCTTTTATACCTTTGCATATATGGAGAAGTTGGGCCTTAGCCCAATTGACTTGCCTTGAAGACTGATCTTTGACTTTAGCACAATTAGAGAGTTGAACCTTGACCATGGGCTTTAAATTGGATCATTTAATGACTAGGCCCAATTGGACTAAATTGGAACCAAACATGATATATCCCTAAAGAGCTCCCCTAACAGAAAGATAAGAAACTAGCCTTTGATTCATCTCAGCAGCTCCGAGTATTTCTCTCCAATAATTATCTGATTTCATTTTTTTCTTCTCTACTCTTATATTTGATACCCACGAAAATCACTGATGGTTTTACTTTGTGCCTTACCCACAAGAATATTGAGATGAACTCTTAGCTGCTCCTTTTTCTTTTTTGTTAGCTGAGTGACAGGTTGGTATACTTCAAGGCTCACGTGGCTATTTGCACTCAACATCATTGGGCTTAAAATATGGGCTTAAAATATGTGACTTAAGTCTTGTGATTTTTGCTTCGTTTGATCTGAGTGGTGGTAAATTGCAATTTGATACCATAATCTTCTTTCCTACAAACAAATAAATAAAAATAGTAGTATCTCGTGTTCAAGAAAGAAATTACTTATAATACTCTTAAGTTATCAAATGTCAATATAAAATCAAGAGTTTAATAAATTTAGATAATATACTTTTACAACCCTATCAGCAAGCTTAGTTTTATCTTCCTTTTACAAGGCTTGGATGAATGTGGCTGACAAGGGAAAATTGAATAAAGCTCGTAAAAAAAATCAAGCCGCTTTGGCTCGCAATCCACCTAAGCCTTTAGTGTAATCTGCCACTACTACTCTTACTAATGGCCAAAACAAAGGAGTAAGGAGAAAATTAGATTTTTCCACATCTCCTAAGGCTCGTCCAAGACAACCTAAGAGGAAGATTCCTCCTAAACTTGCGCAACAAGGAATAAAAATCCTTGAATAAAGGCTCCTTCAAACTCCAAAGAGAAGGGGAAAAGGTAGAATGGGCTCCTATTCTCAGATTGAAGAATAATGTGTGGGTCAAGAAGAAGAGAGAAGACGAAAGTTCCAAGGTTGCTGAAAATACTACAATGGATACTACTCCTCCTTCGACTATCACGATTGGGGATATAGTAACCTTAGGGTGTGACACAATATTAGTAGTACTCTTTTTTTGAATAAAGTGTAATCACTACTAGAAGTTTTTTTTTTATTATTTTTTTCTACTACTATCTAAGTTATATGATGTATTTTTTGAATGCTTTTGGAATAAAGAAAGCTCTTTTATTTAATTTGTTATTTTATTTGACCGGATCAAAGATTGCCTACGTATTCGTATCACGAAATCAAGTCTCGTGTAGTTCTTGTGCAAACTTAGTAATTTTTAATTTTTATTTTTCTTTAATCCTACTTGTAGGAATTAAATGAAAAATTAATCAAACTTTGTTTAATAATTAAAATCAAAGTTTAATTTTGTTTTTCGAATATGTATAACAATTGAATACTCCTTTGTTTTATCGCTAGTAAAAATCGTAATCAATCTTTCTCAAGTGTAAAACTTTAAGTTCGCAGTTCGTCATCAGGTGGCGCGCGCAACCTCAGGGGTTGTGCGTGCCTACTGCGCGCAATTAATTCAGTTGCGCGCGACCCCTGTGCTGTGAGTGCTATTTTTCGACCAAGGTTTGAAACGAATGTTTTTTTTTTTAATATCTTATTTCCCCCCATGTGTGAGGAATTTTCATGGAGTTTGAAAAAATCTAAACACTTGAATGGCTCGTTTTTATTGACAATTTTATTTTTGTCTACCCCCTAAGTGATATGAATTTTACTATGAAGTTCGGTAAAATTTAAAACACTTAAGCGATAAATTTTTATTTATGTATATTTTTTTTTTGTCTACCCCCCAAGTGTTATGAATTTTACCATGGAGTTCGATAAATTTTATAACACTTAGAATCTTTTATTTGAATGTTATAAAGTTTGATTTAGAATTTTTGTATGAACGACTTTATCTGGAATTCATATGTAATATTTTTTAAGGCGATCGATGTTTATTAGTTGACGGATTTTGACGCCACCAATATCCATTAAATCTAACTGCCCCTCCTGATAGAATTTCTATTAAACAGTACGGTCTTATCCAATTGGGCTTGAATTTCCCTCTTGGATTAGTTGGAGGACCTCTAACCTCTTTTAGTATAAAGTCACCTTCTTTAATATTACGGGGTCGTACCCGTTTGTTAAAATGTCGCGCAATGCGTTGTTGGTAGACTTGTACATGTGCAAAGATTTTAATCGTTGTTCATCGAGGAATAAAAGCTCTTCATACCTAGCTCGCACCCATTCAGCTTCATGTAGCTCACTAAATAAATTAACTAAAAAAACATATTTTCCACACTAGGAAAATTCGAAATTAATAACCAATCATTAGAAATTTTCGGACCTCCTAATTAAATAATAAAACATAATTTTTTTTAATTAAAATATTCGAAATATATATAAATAATCCGGTTTTTAAAAATAAAATAAAGGGAAAATTGCTTTAAATAATACCACCTTTCACCCGTCCGCTAAAAACAAGTCAACCTTTTGATTATCTCTAAATAACACCATCTTTGGGGGTTGTCCGCTTTAAACAAGTTATTACCTGTTGGTAAGGAATGGTAACCTGATTAATAGGTTATATGGACACGTGTCATCATTTTATTGGTTTGAAAATATAATTTTTTTAATTAAAAAAATTAATAAAAAAACCTCAATCCCTCCCATCCCCTTTCCTCTTTTTGCCATCCCCTTCCCTTCCCTTTCCTTTTTCCTCCCCTTTCCTCTTTCCCTCTCCATGAATCTCGTTCCCCACCACAGCTAGCCCCCTCCCCGCCCCTTGCCCCGTCGGCCACCCGTCAATAAATCCCCCACCACCGAAATCACCACCCCTCCCACCCCCACCACCGAAATCACCATCCTCTCCAACTTCACCGAAATCCCCATCGAATCCACCACCCCCACCGCTGAAATCCTCACCAAAATTCCCACCGGAAATCGGCCTCCCAACAGCTTCCTCGCAGCCGCCTCCACATACCATGACCACCACTCACCTTTCTCCCACATTTCCGGCCACCACTTACAACAACAATTCGTGTTGAGACTAAACCCAGAAAACCCACTCCCTCCCTCGAAATTGGTGTAGCTTGGTGGTTTCGTAATGTGGGTGGGTGAATTAGATGGTGGTTGTGGTTTTGTGGTGTGGGTGGGTTGTTTGGGGGTTTTTGAGAGTTAGAGAGGGGTGGAAAAGGAGTTTCGAGTGGTGGTGGTGGCTGCAACCTCTTCTCTTTTTGATATAAAAAACCTTGTATTAACACAATTAGCCCACGATAAACCCAAAGTAGGACAAATTCATATTTTTGTTTTTTTGAGAGAAGAAAATTGAGGAAAGAAATGGCGTGATTGAAGGTGAGAAAGCCGCCTGAGTTGAGATTGTAGAAGGGAAATTCCTTTGATTGCTAATTGATTCTTGTTTATCATGCTTGTATTCTTGATGAATATTGCTGTGAAAATTAGATCAGTGAGACTTGTAGTCGTAGATGTTGAGGTTTAACATTGGCGAATTTGGCACCAGATGGTTCCAGTGGGTTGTGATGGGTGGCTGGGGAAGGGGAAGAAGGAGGTCAGGGGGAAGGAGGAGGGGGCTAATTCATTTTTTTTGTTTTTTTAATTGTTTTTTAATTTTGTTTTTTTATTTAATTGTTAATAAATCATAATTAGAGTTGTTATTAAGAGTTAATTACATTGTTAAATGAATTTATTAAAAAGAAAAAAAAAATAACAGGTTACTCAGGTTGTAGGTAAAATAACTTGTTTAAAGCGGACACCCCCTAAAGGTGGTATTGTTTTGAGATAATCAAAAGGTCGACTTGTTTTTAGCGGATGGGTGAAAGATAGTATTATTTAAAGCAATTTTTCCTAAAATAAATGGATAATAAATCTTATCCAAAATCCAAAAATAATGATTAAGTTTTAAAATACTTTTAGCGCCAAAATTCAAATAACATTTTGGCTCCAAAATTCAAATAGTATAATAAATTACTAAAATTTCCTTTTTAGAAAATAATAATTAATTAATTAATTAGAAAATACATTTCAAAAATACGGGGTATTACAGTCTACCCCACTTAGAAGAAGTTTCGTCCCGAAACTTAGCCAAAAGAGATACGAAAATCATTTCAAAACACTAATTTATTGTGGACCACTAATATTAGTGACACTATGGTTGTTTTATTAATAAATAAACATTTTAAGTTATTGGTTCATGCACATCCTAACCCGACTCACGACTGCAACTAACTCAAGGAAGACTCAACAACACTAAAATATGACTCAAAACACAAACGTGCGAAACTCTATCACCTCTACCCCCCTTAAAAGGAGTTACGCCCTCGTAACTCAAGCACTAGTCAAACAGTTCTGGGCTTCTACACTTCCGACCATACAGAGCTTTAAACGGTGCCATTCCAATGCTTATATGAAAATTGTTGTTGTAAGAAAAATCTATCAAGTCCAAATGGTCTTCCTAAGACCCTTGATACTCCATCACACATGCTCTCAACATATCTTCCAATATCTGAATTGTTCTCTCGGTCTGACCATCTATCATAGGATGAAATGTTGTGCTCATTAGCACCTTCGTTCCCATCTCCTTTTGCAGACTATGCCAAACATTAGACAGAAACCTTGAATCTCTATCTGAAATGATATCTGTGGGTACTTATTAGGGGGTTTTTCCCCGACCAATCAGTGTACGCCACGTGGACCAATCAGCACCTGCCAAGTGTCCTCCATTTGGACCTCTCAAGGGCTGCCACGTGGCACACAACCATTCGTCCACCATGGACCAATTACGCCACGCCAAGTGGCCTGCTGTTTGCCACCTAGGAAGATGGCCACCTAGGCCCACCTTCCGAGAAAAGCCCAATCAGCTCTAGGTTGACCTAAACCTAGAGTTGGGCACGCTTCTCAAGGCTATAAATACATTAATTAATCCTCATTAAACGGGGTTAAGCATTTATTACTCTTAACTAGAGAAGTCAAAACACACTGATCACTCCTTACCTAGGGGAACCTGATCTCCCAACCTTTACTTTTCCGCATTATTCACTCCTCAAACAAATACTAACTTGATCGTCGGAGGCGGAACTCCCCCCAACAAGAGAGTCCGTTGTTTTGCAGGTATTGGCGCACGGATACCAGTTCCGGAATTGTAACTCTCCCGCAGGACAACAGAAAACCCTGAAACATTTTGGCGCCGTCTGTGGGGAGAGTACTTTCGAGATGGCATCACAGTCTGTACCGAATCCAGAAGGGAGACGTCCAGTGGATGACCCTCAGGTCTATTCTGACTAGGATACTGATAATGAGGTCGAGGTGGAGACTCACACGGCCTCAGACGGGACCCTAAGGGCCCGACGCACCCGTCCCATTGAGAGGAGGGAATGGGAGGATTGCCAAGCTGGTCCCAGTCAATCAGCTGGCCCACCGCCTGAGCAACAGGAGGCGGCTGAGGGATCTGCTCCCATTACAAGGAATGAGCTCATGACCTTCATGAGGGGATTCAAAGGAGAGATCCAAGAATTGATTTAGAAGAGAACGCCTGTTCCTGCAAAGGACCAGTCGGCTAGAAAGTCCTCCCTCTCTGGAAGGATGAGACTAGTTACTGATCGTGCGGCGACCCCCCACCCAAAGCTTCGGACCAGGCGGTCACCAGTAATCGATTTGACGAAGTACCACTTCCCTTCACCAGGGAAGAGAAAACCCATCCGTCATGTTCAAGCGGATGGATCAAAGAAAACTTACTCAAATGCTTGATTGTTGCTAGAGAAAAAGAAGAGTGACCGACTGTCAGAGTCGGCCTCTACTTTAGATTTTCAAGATAGTTTGCACAATACCTCCATGAGGTATTCTCAATCAAATTATGAGAGCCAGACAGGCGGTACCTCCCGTTAGTCCGGATCCCATAAAAGCCAGACGGCTCCGCATGTGCCACTCCAACCATACAGGCCGCAACAACAATTTTTCTTGCAGCCTCCTCTGTTTGGAGGGTAGGCGGCAAGAAATGTCCAACCTTTGGACTGGCAACTACGGTTGCTTAGACTTAGAGAATAGCCGTCCGCCTTCTCCAAGGAAATTATTGAGGCCGCCCAGCCGGCCAAAGTGAAGAATGTATTAGTAGGCGCCTATGATGGCACTACTAACCCAAAGGACCATCTCATGGCGTTCACCAACCTTATGTACCTCCAAGGGTTGGATGATCCCACATGGTGCAAGTTCTTCCCAGCCACTTTGAAGGGCATTGCTCAACAATGGTTCGGCAACCTGCCAACTGGTTGTGTGAACAATTTCAAGACCCTTGCCTACTTGTTCACCTCCAATTTTTCCATGAACATCCCTACTAAGAAGACAACCCTTGACTTAGGGACCATACAGCAGGGAGAGAAGGAAGGACTCCATTCCTACATCAAGCGGTTCAACTTGATGAGGATTCAGATACAAGGCTGCCGGATGAGGTAGCCTACACTAACTTTTTCAGAGGTCTTAAGGATGGGTCGACCTTCAAGTTTGACTTGGTCCGAAAGAGAGTTGCCACTCTCCAAGAAGCATTATTTGAGGCTGAAGCCTACATACAGGTGACTGACCTCTGTAATACTGGGAAGCAGTCGGACGGAAGGAGGTCCGATAAAAAAGAAAGCCGACCAAAGCAGTCGGCAAATAAAGATGAGAAAAAGAGAAAAGAAATCTGGGTGGCCGACTCCTCTGAACAGCCGTCCCAAAAAAAGAAGAAAGAATACAAACCATACTCTCCCAAGTATGCGTTCAATAAGGATAACCAAGCTATCCTCAATGAAATCAAGGGTCAGATCTCAATTGAGAAGCCGGCCCCCATGAAAGGTTCTGCAAGTAATCGGAACCAAAACAAATTCTATAATTTCCACGAAGACATTAGTCATGAAACCAATGAATGTATAAGCCTCATGCGCTTCTTGGACCGCCTGGCAGAAAAAGGCAATCTTGATTCATATGTCAAGAAGTCCAAGAGGAATGCTCCCCCCAAAAGAAAGCAGCCGGCAAAAAATAATCACCGGTCGGCTGATAGTTCTAATACTGACGACGCCGTCGTTTATACCATAGCAGGCGGATTCGCAGGAGGCGGCCCCACAATCAGGGGCAACAAAGACAACATCAGGCGGTTGGATGTTAACTCCGTCAATCAAGGACGGACCGCCAAGAATACATTCAAAGAAATCGTCATCACAGAAGAAGATCTGGGAGGAGTTAGGGGCCGCATGACGACCCCATTGTCATTGAATGTAAAGTCGCCAACCACAGAGTTGGCCGGATCCTCATAGATACCGGCAGTTCCTCTGATCTTATTAGCAACAAGTGCTTAGCGAAGCTCAAGTACAAAACTGATTGCGTACACCCGGTATCTCACCCTTTAGTAGGGTTTGGAGGAAATATCGTACACCCAGTGGGACGGGTGGATTTACCCGTCCGCCTGGGAAAGAAGGGGGAGGGCCGTCACATGGTGGTCCGATTCTTAGTTGTTGAAGAACTGTCAGCCTACAACATGATCTTGGGACGACCAACCTTGAACGACTCTAAAGCTGTCATCATTCCTTCTCTTATGCTGCTGAAAAGGATGATGGAACAGTCGGCTCTCTAAGGGGAGATCATAAGATGGCACGAGAGTGTTATCTCTTGGATATAAAACCCACTGTGATGACTGCTGGCCCAAGTGGAGAGAATAATGACCCTGAACAGACCAAGGAGAATGCGCCTGCAGCAGGCGGTAGGAAAAGAAAGGCCGCCCAATTAAGGGCCGAGAGAAAAGAAAATAGATAACAATCACTGGCAGAGGAGCGGTCAGACGAATTCCGCCCTCAGCCGGCTGGTGAGCATACGTATGTCGTCCTGGACGACTCACGTCCTGACCGAATAGACAAAGTTGGGACGATTGCTCTTGCGGTACTGGGTGATGATCTTCACCTACTCTTGAAGGAATTCAAGGATATCTTTGCATTTGAAGTACAT